TGGTGATCAAACCCACATAACAAGGTTAAATTATGGACATGTGCAAAGGTAAGACATGATGTAGATGATTTTCACATGTGTAGAGAGAATAAAACAAACTTAATCTGTGTCTGTGTGTTTAATAAAAACATTATTTTCAACTTAACCCAGTCTGTGAACTATTTGTGTACCAGAACTCCAAAAAAAAAAGAACAGAAATCAAAACCCAAACAATAAACACATTTCTTAAATTTCAAAACCTAAGAAAAGCATGTACAGGATCATAACAAACTCATACACTATTGAGGTACTTAAGTGGAGTTTCAACTTATGTAAATAGTCTAAATATGAAACATGAATCATGATTTGCATCTCCAAAGCGTGAAATGGACACGGTGGACTGAGATGTCATTAAACATTTTGCTGTGATACTGGGTTGTGGTAGGACATGCCTAGAAGGGCCAGGAGGCATCCTGATTTAATGCCTGAACCACTCCAACTGGCTCTTTCAATTTGGAGAAGAAGTAGCAGTTCTATTCTGAGCCCCTACCAAATGCCCAAATTCCTTGTGTTATCTCCAAAGGCCACTTGGATCCATGGTCTCATTTTCTGAGTCACTACCTAGAACTTGTACTGACCAGTACATCTTTGCCTTCACACACCACGCTCTGTGTTCAACACAACAGAGTAGTACAAAATCAGCATCAACACAGATACTGTACCAATCCGTTTGCTCTTGAGATCTTGAGACTCTTAAGCGTCTCCACTTGTGGCAGCAACTTGTTTCCAGCTGAGAGCCAGGGCATCAGACTTGGAGGTAATTTAGATCCCAGTCACTTCAAACTTGGCTGCAAACTGCGCCAGTGCAAACTGCAGGTCATTGCTCAATAAAAGCCAACAACCCTAGCTTTTAAAATCAAATTATATCATATCTGCCACTGAAGTCAAGTTGGACAACAAGTTATGGATTATTGATAACATGGCAACTATACAGTTATAACAGCTGCAACTGAAACTTGATATGGTTGGGGTCTATAAAGTTTTGGACAATCAAACATTTAAACTCAATTAAAATGTAACTGAAGTGCAGATTTTCAGCTTTATTAAAGGGGTTTAACAAAAATAATTGTGATTTTATGATAGGGAAATTGAAACTGTATCTGTGTAGTTTCTCAGTAATCCGGGTCATAGTCTTTAGAGCTAAAGAACATGATGATTAAACTTCCTAGAGTTTAAAGAACTCCAGTCGCCTTCTTTTTAAGATTCTAACACTACTGAAAAAGAGCAAGGAGTCCTTGAGAAGCTTTAGAATAAAGAGAATGAGATGTTTACCACCACCATCTGTGGTGTATGTGATTACACACATCTACACTCATGCTTAGTTGCAGAATGCTCCACTAACCTATCAAATCAACATTACAAGTGGTTTTTAGTAGTGTCATGATGTATATCTGCACAAAGCAAAATCACAGGATTGTTTTCCAGTATCTGTGTTGTAGATGGCATGGGGATTGGAGGCAGATAAGAGAATGCAAGGCAGAGCTTTTTGCTAGGCTAGTGAAAACAGCAACACAAACCCCTGGTGCCAAGCATTTTCCTCTTCTTAACACTAAATGTCTTGCCTGGAGCTACAAATTGCTAAACACAACCATACTCATATGCTCACGAATGCTGTGTATTGTGACTAAAACAAATCATGAATTTGTTTTGGGGTTTTTTTTTTAACACAAAAAAGAACTTTATATGCTGTACTATTACAAACCTTCTTAGAATTGAGGTGTTTACCTTTGCAGCCTTTTACAAAATAGTGAATGAGCCCACAGATTGGTGAACTTGTGTGTCAGTGAAGCTTGTTGTACAACATGGTTTGAATGCTCAATTAGGGTAGAAAGCATGCCCACTGAGACATACTATCTTTTTGCTGTTTGCAGATAAAAAAGTATCAGCAAAATGTGCTAGCCTGTCACATCATTTCTTTCACTTTGATAGCTTGATAACTGTCATTCCCCTTAAATGATGTGGCCTCCTTTAATTTCCAACATATTATCTATTGTGATTTTCTTCCCGGTGAGTTATGATGTGTTTTCAAACTGTTTCTTTAATCTTTTGAGCAGTGTATCTATTTCCTGTCAAATTTATTTAACTGCTCAGATAAACAGCAGAGGCTGGTAGCATTAATGACTCCCTGGTTTCGATCCTATCTGTCTGAGAAAAACAGCTAGCAGCATTATCACTGAACAAAAGACTTTATGTTTTTAGAATACTTGCCTTTTGAGCTTGCAGTTAAGAACAGGATATGAACAATAGAACACAAAAGTGTGGATAATTTCTGTGTTGCACCACTTCCTCCAGTGTCTTCTTTTCTTTTTTTCACCACTTCCTCAAATGTCTAAAGAGAAAGAGAGCACATGGTGTGGTTGCGAGAGCATGCCTGTCATGACAGACCATTAAGGCTGATCTCTTTGCATACGTTTTTACTTTTTCAGATTCCTATGCCCATCTTACCACCGTGGTTTTACACTCAGATTTTCAATTGCTTATTTAAACAAAACTGAGAAGTTGTTTATGAGACTTTCCCTAGTGGTAAGGGAACTTTATAAAATGCCTTTCATGTTTTTATTTAATACTACTGAATTTCAAAATGCTATATGTTGACATATTATAAAACTGTATTTGCATGTTGCTTTTTGTACATCCTCCCTTAATGCATATTTTCCCTTCACTCAAGGGCATAGCAGGACTGACCGCAGAGTACTAGCTGATGCATGTGGGTCTGGTGTGAGCAGAGTCGAGCTCAGGGAGGGTGGAAAGTCATCTAGAGGAGACAAGATGGGTCAAAAATGGGAGCAGTATAGGTGACCTTTTGCCCTTTGAAAGCCAGGAATTAACACTTACAATAAATAACTAAATAAATAATAATAACTAATTAAAATAACTAATAATAACTAAAGAAATAAATAATACAATAAATAACTCTGTCATATACACTATTAAACACTATTATTAGACACTATTAAAGCCACTACCACGATGGCGTTCAAAGGAGGATCCTGCTCCCTCAAACAAGTTTCCATGATGACCAAACCAGCATAAAAAGGGTTATATTCTGAACATGTGCAAACAGAAAAAGATGATGTGGATGATTCTCACATAAGTGTAGAGAGAATGAAACAAACTTTCTGTGTCTGTGTTTATTAAAAACATAAAAACTATGACATGTACATCGACTGTGAATAACTGGGTGATCACTAAAATGGATTAGGTTGACAAATCTGCCTTCTGTGGTGCATTTTTGTGCTAGAATTTGTATTTCTCTGTAAACTCACATAATTTCTCTCTTCTTTGTAGAAATTAGACACTTTGTAAAAGAACAGTGAATAATGGCACAAAACATAGGGGGAGGGGCATCACTAAGCTACCGTTACTTCACAAAGCGCTGGCTCTGGATGTGGTTTTGTATTTTGGGTTTCACAGTGTTTCCTGTACACAAGAGCATTGAATTTCCTCTATGTTTTCTTTCTGCATGTGATACTGCCAGCCTGTCAGGCGGACATCATATCTCCTGCATCGAACTGATATTCATCTAACCCGGGTCCTTAAGCTGGACATCGTCTGGACGATCCTGAAACACTGCTCACTTCCTTCCATCTCATTATTCCTCCTGCATGCTATTCAAGCATGCTATCTGTGAGGATGCTAAGCTTCTTCATACTCATCTTTTCACTATGTGGTGAGTAATAAAGATGTTCTTTAAGTACAAAGGGATTTTCCTTAACTCTGTATCTATCTGAAAAATTGATTATTTTATTGAGTTGACAGGAGTAAAACCTTTTAGGTAACTTTGAGTTTCTTTTTGGCCTAACTTTCGGTATCTTGGTGGTAAATGCACAAAAAAGCAAACTAAAACTAATAATTTCGATATGTGTTTTTAAAAAAATAAAATACTCCCATTTTAATGAGGTACTAATGGAATTCGAAGGACTATCAATGTAACCTCTGACTTTTAAAAGAATAAATGAAAACCCATTTTAAGTGGGAGAGGTGAACGTTACTTCTAGTACAAAGTTCCGTTTTCATCAAACTGAGAGAGCGTGGGCCATATTGAACTTTACAGTCTGATGAAAAATAAAGCTTTCACAGGACTCTTTGCAGTCTTGTGAAAGACTAATTATACCCCATCATTCAGTAGCTTTTAAAAAACCTTTAGCAGCAATGACTTGCAGTAACCACTTTCTTTACAATGTTATCAGTTTCTCACATAGTTGTGGGAAATTTTTTTGTGTGTGTGTGTAGGTGGTCAGAGATGTTATGATTAAGCTGCGACCACGCCACCTAGTGGAATTTCACCCCCAGGAAATATACAGAGTGTTTTCAAACATCCTAACCAAAACACTGGTTTGAAAGTGCACTACTAAAGCAGATTTCTTCCAATATTAAAATACCTTTAATACATTTGTTAAAAACAAATTATAATTCCAGTCTGGTTCACAATATAAACTGATCTTAAACATCTAACATGCTGAGTGAGGCTTTGTAGAGTCTGACGTGCAGCTCTTTTTTATTGGACTTTATCTGAGCATTGTACAGTCTGACTTTGGGTTGAATTTGCTTGATGATCAGTTAAACATCCTCATGGATTTGATTAGCAGCATGTGGATGCCTCTTCAAACCTCATAAACCCTCTTAAAACTTGTGAAAGCAGTAGGGGGTATACTTATTTAGTACTATATTTATTTATAGTGTTTAAATAACAGACAACATATAAATGCACTTTAATTTCAAAATGAATTGTATTAGTTTTAATCAGTATTTAGCACAGTTTCTTTCCAAAGATATATATTTATTTTTTTAAAAACAGTTGAGGCAAATGAGTGGCTGCATTTTAATATCCTGCATTTTACCATATATTACTGATTCTTTTTGATTTTGTTTTGTACTGTTTATTATTAATACTTAGTGTGAAAAAATGTGAAGCAGGACAAATAAAACCTAATAAGCACATCAATCTTGTCTATTTACAGATGCTGACAGCATATGCCCACCAGAGCACAACCCTCTTACTCTGAGTCCACGTCAGATCATAGCAGAATATGAAGGAAATCCTGTCACTGTAAACTGCACCACAGCACTGGCTGAACATAAAGGGCTGTACTTTACAGTTGGAAATGAAACCTCTCGCATCATAGAAGAACAAATGTCTATCTCCCAGTCAGTGTCACTGTCAGATTGGAATGTGACGATCAAGTGCAAAGTAAAACTAAATGAGTCTCATGAATGCAGCAAGGACCTTCAAGTTATTACATTCAGTAAGTTTAATTTGAAATGAATACAGAGCAATGCTAAGAAAACTAAAAGCAACGATCACGAGTAACTAACTGTTGTCTAACTTTGTTTGGCAGAGAATCCAGAAGTTTTTCATTCTGTACAGCTTGTGAATGTGACGCGAAAAGAAACACAGTACAGACTGCAGTGTGACATCATCAATGTTGCTCCTGTTCAGTATGTCACTGTTAGCTGGTACAAAAACAGTGAAAAAATCCAGACAGAATCTTTCAATGACACAACAACCAAAACTCCAGTAAATAAGTCCTCTATTCTGAGAGTCAACATCAGCAGAGAAGAAAATGTAGTGGAGTTCAGATGTGAAGCTCAGCTGGACTTTGGACCACACAGACCAAAACTTCCTGCCATTTCTCAAACACACAGAGTTTCAGCCCACTGTGAGTAAATATCCTGCTGTTTACACATGAACAGAAGTTTATTATTATTTTTTTTTAAAGATTAAACACAAGTTCCCTTCTGTTCAGCTTTCAATTGTGTAAATGTGAGAACCGATAAAAAACTGTTTATCATTTCAGACGCTCCGGAGCTAAAGACACAAAATAGTACTGATGACACTTATGCACTTGAGGGCACTGATATCATCATGAGCTGTGAAGCTGTTGGAAACCCTCTTCTTGTGTATAACTGGATTTGTGATGGGAAAAACATGTTGGAGAACACAACCAGTCTCAGTTTACCTCGAGTACATGGCAATAAAACCTGCGCATGCACAGCTACCAATTATCTGGGAAACATAACCAAGACAATCCATCTTCATGTTGAACCAAGAGGTATATATTCTTACTTCACATCTAAAATTGTGGATGATTTAGATGAAACTGCTGACTTATGTCTTATTTTACACCAAATCATCTCTAACTCTGAATATATTTGCTTGTGAATGGCAGGTTGCCCACTAACACTGACACCTTCTGAAACTGTTGTGAAATTTGGAGATCCAGTTTCAATCAACTGCAGCACATCAGTCAGATATGTTCAAGGAATGGGCTGGGAGGCTCCATTTGGAGGTACAGGATTTGAGCGTGCTCCTGTTGTCACTTGGAGGGTTGAAAAACTAGAAGAGTGGACTCCAAGTCCTTTTTGCTATGTTACTCTGGTTAATGGATCACAGTGTACTGTGAGTCCAGTCATCACTGTTTACAGTAAGTACATATGACCACAATGTCCACAATGCTTTATTGTGTTATAAACTATATGAATTGAAATTTGTAATATGATATAGCAATGATTTCGCTTATTTATTTACAGAAACTCCAGATTCTGTGTCAGTGTCTGACATGGGTCATGGTTCAATGGTGGAGGGCAGAGAGTATGATCTGAAATGTGATGTCATCAATGTGGCTCCTGTGCAAAATCTCACAGTGACGTGGTACAGAGGCAATGAAACTGTGCTCACACAGATGTTTAATGACTCCACTATGACTCCAGTAAACGTATCTTCTACCCTGAGAATCTCCACTCTGAGAGATTACAATGGATTAACTTTTAGATGTGAGGCTGAGCTGCACCTCAGACCCAAAGGACCAAAGTTCCCCCCTAATGTAACCTCACCACCTTACACTGCTGTTGTTCTTTGTAAGATTCCCACCAACTTACTTCATGTTTCTGATCTAAGACACAGCTCTGTGATCTATGAAATATAAATTAATCTATGTTGATATTCCTTCCTAGATAAACCATTCATGGAATCTTGTCCAGACCACGTCACTGTTGTTGAAAATGCTGCCTTCAGCATTGACATGTTATCCTGTCAGCCTGATGGGAACCCTTTTCCCACTGTTCAGTGGTTCTATGAGGGGAAAATCCTTAATTCATCTAAGCCACTGACCAGGACTGACTCAGGAAAGTACACGGCTATAGTTCAAAACAGTCATGGCAGAAGCAACACCTCAGTTCATATCACAGTGGAATGTGAGTGCATCAGACCTGGATCATTTTATATTTTGTCCAAATATTGATAAAACAAGATAATATTTTGTTTTCAATTATTTACTCTGAAAATGAATTTGTATAATTTTTACAGACAGTCCTTCTTTCACCTGCAAAGAGCACTATGAGATCACAGTGAATGATAAACATCAAAGTATCTGTGAACCAGTAGGATTACCTACACCCACCCTCACCTGGTTTAAAGATGGTAAACAGATGGTTTCCCCACAGCTCTGGAAAAAGAACGATAGTGGAAAATACTTGCTTAATGCACACAACACACATGGAACAGCTGAACACACACTGTATCTTGAAATTTTGTGTAAGTTTTAAGTTTTTAATTTTTCAGAATGATATAGTCTTTTTATGATTTTTCAACAGTGAAAATAAGTAATTTGAGATGATAACATATTTTGAAGGATATTATTTCTGTTTCAAAATTTGGTATTTTTTCCAGATGCCCCTGAATTCAAAGAAGGAAATGAAAGCAAGGAGGTACTGCAGGGTGAGAATGTTACTTTAAGCTGTAGTGCTGACAGTAACCCACCCTCAAACATCACCTGGATCTACACAGCTGCAGTGAATTCAAACATGACCACTGAGGGGCGCCAGAAGACTGTCACTATCACTAGAGCCACGTCTACCAATGCTGGTTATTACATTTGTGTTGCAGAGAATAAAGTTGGGAGAAATACACGATTCATCACACTGATGATAACAGGTATGATTATTGACTCAGTGCAGAAGAGCTATGGGAATGTAGAAAGTGAAAGATTACTGATGTTTAATTTCAACAATGCATGGGATTGAGAAATTAAATGAATCTTATGTTTTGAATTTTGTTTCTCTTACAGGTAAAAGCAGTCAAATCCCATTTCCAATCATTTGGGTGTCGCTCACTCTATTGATCATCATTCTGATTCTTCTTGTGGTCTGTTGTCGCATTTGCCAAAAAAAACGTGGACATTACAGTTTTTTTCCTGTCAAAGTGTCAAATGTCTCAAATATCCCTTTGACTAGTGTACAAGCCAATGGAAAAGCTAAGGATTTTTAACGAATCCTGTTCTGTATATCAAATGTTGCCCCCTGGCCTGGTGGGTTTCAGGTAGGGAGGTGATCCAAAATCCTGCAACTGTTTATTAAAATACAGAAGAATGGATCATAAGCTTGTTTACAGCTTTAATCACAGGATTTATTCTACTTCCTTAAACAAAGAGAGACAAACTCAATCTCTTTCTATGATGACCAGCATCTCTTTGAAAGGTACGGAACGACAGATGTTAATACATTGCCAAGAAGTGCATGAATAACCCTATTATCATTACATGAGAACTGAAGCACAATAGAGTGACTCATGTCCATGAATGTTCTTCTTTAGTTGTACTTGAACTACACAGTGACCATTGTAACAATATCTCAACATTTGTTCACATTAACGATGGTAAACCAGTATTTGTTCAGGTTACGCAAATATATCTCTTGCATCACCAAATACAATATATTATAAGCTCAAAGCAACCAACTAGTAAATAAACCTCAATACAAAGCCAATTTATTAAAACATTTGTAGGCCTACATTACTTTTTGCATCCCCTCTTATCTCAAAAACACATTAAAATTGAAAGTCCAATTAATTTATTGTCACAAATACAATTTGTGTTTCTTTAGCATAGCTAATGCACTTGAAGCACACTTTGCCAGCTAGCAAAAGGTCTGTTGGCCTATGACGATATAGAAGTGACAATCTCACTTTAAGAACAGTACTTCCACATTTCTCATTTTCCAGAGTTATATTTCACAACAGTCTTATTATTATTTCTGCTTTGTTACATACAAGCCATTTTAAGGACTATTAACCAAACCTGTACATTAAAATGTTTATTCAGAAACACTTGTTGTGTACTCTATTTGGAATAAAATCTTATTTTTATATTTTGCTGTCTTTTTCTTTCTCCTCACAAGGCAGCTTCTTTTCAGTCTTGAAATATGAGTTGTGTACATTGTTCGGCCATATGTCACTGTATTTAAACAAAATATCCTATTTTCATGCATCAGAACTTAATTATGGATCCTTAATGATTTGATTCAAAAAGGTGGGTGTCGCCCAGTATTAATCAGAGTGTAAAGTGATGGTTTCCTTAGGTTTTATTTTCAGTTAATTAAATAAATACTTAAATAAACAAGATGAGGATATGTGTTTTCTTTTTCCTTTTAAAGGCCTTTAACAAGTCATTACAGGTGAATTGTGACCAAACAGACTATTTTACAATGACCAATACATGCCAGTAGTTCAGAGGTTTTTCAGACAGTGAAGGATAAAGAACTATGTTTTAGTTAATATCCATTATGCTAAAGGAGAATAATGTTTGCTTCAGTCCGAGCCTTGGGTTTTGATTATCACGAAAGAGTACCTTGAATAACAAAGACTCTCATTAGTAAATCTAAAAATAATATATTTGCAACAATACAACATTTGAAAAACTTTATGAAGCATTAAAAATCACAAGACAAAGCAAAACCCAAAGCTATGGGTCTCAGGCAATTGACTGAACAAAAAGTCTTTATACTCAGAGGCTCCCTAACACAAAGCTTAAAGTGCAATCAAAATTCACTGATCAGGTCCACAAGAAATTTGGAGGATCAGGTCCCTCCCGAGTTGGAATGCACTAACCTGTGTTTTTCAATCTATAGCGTGCTGGGCGCTGATCCCCTGTGCAAAGGATGAACAACCGGCAGTCATTTGCTCCGAATTACCAAATTTGGATTTCATTTCCTTATAAGAACATTAATAGTTGAGCACAGATCTTAACTCTATCCGCAACCGATTCTCTCGTAGTTCCGCTCGTTTTGCACTTCTGTATTTCTCCGTCTCTAGCAGTTCCAGTCGTTCACCTCACAAGGCTGGACGAGAACCTCCCCACCTCTCCTCCTGCCCCACAGCAAGGTCTCTCTGCACCGTGTCTCTGTCCCTCCCACCAGGCCACTTCATTGGTCCCTTCCTGGTGGCTCCCTGTCCTAATTGGCTGACGACAGTGTCCTTCAAGGACATGAACTCGCTCAGCTGTAAGTAAAACTCGACTTTCACAACAAAAACATGCATCAAGAAAGAATACAGCCACAGATTAAAATCACAGCCCATGCAATATAAAACCCAAGCAAAGCACAGAATCAGAATTTCCGGAGCTTGTATCTCGGGGAATGCTTTTTATACACCAGATTAAAGAAGTACACTATCAATGCAGAAGTACTACAGGCTATCAAGATGCGACACAGACTAGTAGTATTTTCGCTTGACGGGGATGCGAAAACTAGTTTGTTCCTGTTTTTGTCGCAATGTAAAAAATTTTTTGGAAGAACAAGAACTGCCCGAGTTAAATGTCGGATCATGGTGTTGATTTCGAGTTTGAACTGAAGAAAGAAACGCCGGAGCAGGTTTACATCATGCTGAGATTGTACTCCCATGGGGCGTCCTCCAAGCTGTTGGGATAACTTTGGAGAGGTTTTTTTCTTTCTTTTTGTGTGTGAGAGAAATAATCTGAAAGTTCGGCCAAATAAGTGACCGTTGATTTGGACACAGGGCTTTGGGTGAGTCTATCATCTGCCTCGTTTGTATGTATGATATTGTCAGTGTCATTAACATACATTTTCTGCAAGGTGAAGAAAGAAGTGAGAAGCTAATAGTCACGATATGAAAAGTGAAACCAACTTAGAAGTGCCTTAAAGTAGTAATATAGTTTTGTTAGTACTGTTTAATGCCTGACACCATTGGAGGACAGCTGAGACACGACCATTCCGAATGCAGATGAGTACATCGCCTAACATTTACGTATTGTATTGCTACTTTCTGCTTTTACTTTAATATATTTTGAATGCAGGCATTATACTCTGTACTCTTTAACATTTAGTTTAAAGTTTTAGTTTCTTAGTATTTTGTACATTACTGAATATCAAGCTAAATTCAAAGGACATTTACCACACAGAGGGAAGACTGAGAGAACTAGTGCTAACAGAATATAGAACAGAAGAGGAACAGAATACCTATGAAAAAGAATGAAACTTACACAGTAAACAACAGTAGGAACCAGAAAACCTGATAAAAGAATAGAAATCAGAACCACAACTGCTAAAGTTTAAAAACTATTAAAATTACACGATCATGACAATCTCTGGCACCATAAAGGTCGTTCAGTAAGGTTCTAACTTCAGTAAAAAGTCAAACGAATTTTTTGTCTACTTTGCAAAAGTTATTCAAGACAAAAACTGTTCACAGTTAATGCCCTGTAGAACAAATTTGTAATAAGATGGAGCCTAACAGCACCAAAAAACAAAGCAAAAAACCCCAAAAACAGTCTACTCTGTTCATTCTTTTAATAATATAGATCTTGTTTAAATTTTATAACGATAATTCCAAACACATGAATTAACTCTGCCAGGGCGGCCATTTATCAACCATTCTATTTGTAATTTTTATGGACAGAGCTATGCACAGCCAAAAGTCCAAGGGTGTCAAGTTCAGTGGTGTTATGGAAATCTGAAAGAAACTGATCTACACAAACAGCTTGTCTTTGTGAGGTTTTAATTTGTCTTTGCAAAGGGGTCAAACAACAGTACAGAGTACAACAGCAGTCTGCATGGCTTTTGACAAAGAATGACAACAAGCGTAGAAGCATAGAAACACATTGTCTACCCATCATGTTCACAGATTACAGTCAGAACATTCCAAAGAAAACTTGTACAGATGAATATATCTATAAGATAAAACATGTAGAGCCGCACTCAGCCAAATCAACTTAAAACAGAGAAAATCAGAATCCTAAAATTTCCTATTATGTTTCACATAAAAATCCAGCAATGTTCAAACTAGGGGATCTTTGTGTGTCATAGTGAAAGTGAAAATTTTGCAGCATCTCAACATGTCACTCCTCACACAAGAAGAGCATGTGTGGGTATTAGCTATACTTAAATTAAAACATTGTTTCTAAATTTGCCCTTGCAGCACTGTTGCTCAAAGTCACCATCTCATAGAAATATGTGAGGTGCAGCAGATGAAGTTTCAGTCAACTATAACTAACCTGGTGTGTGTGCTGTACATTTTCTTTCCTCCTCCAAAAGTAGGTCATTTGTGTTACCAGTGGTTAGTTTTCACTGGTAGGACCATAAGTGCTGATAAACTTTTCTTGGCAGCAGACAGAAAGCAAAAAATGCACGCTTAAAGTTATATTTACATTAATTAATTATTACATGTATTGTAAGTGAAAAAGTAACAAATTCTCTCACCCCTTGTCCTGACAGAGTGTACATAGTATCCACCACCACAATCAACTTCAAGCATTAGCTCAGTCAAAGTAGCTGCACGTCTCTCATGTGGAGCATGTGATTCATCCATATCAACAAAAGCAACACAGGAGTGTGTGCAAAGTGTTATCAACTCGAGTCTTCATGACAGGCTTGGTGGCTGCATCAATCTTTTATAGAATCTGTGTTAACACCAGAGGTCTTCTGGCAAGGAATGAATGCGTAGAAACTCTCTTGTGTTTGCAGAACTTTGCGTTCACAGTTAGCGCCCTGTGTTTTCCCAGTTTTTTCTTTAACATTTAGTAGTTGAAACAAAGAGTGTTTTTTTTAAATTACTAACATGTTGCTTTTGTGGAAAGTGAAGCTTTTTAAAGTTAATCCTGGACACATTTTTCAATGTTTAGATTTAGTCTGAATCTTGAGCTTTACAATTATTATCTTATATATAGATGTAAACTACCTAATTTAAAAAAAAACAACAACTAAAAAACATATTGTATTATATCTACTATTATTTAAAAAGATAAGTTGGACAAATATTTGCCCACTATTGATGACATGGATTACTGTACTTGTCATAGTTGTAATTGGCCAGATATTTAAGTTTTTAGACAATGACAAATGTTGTAAAGATGTGATTGTAGGATAATCAATTAAGACGAGCTATTTGGGGACCTGTAAAGATAACGTTGAATCCTGTACTGCAGGATATCTAATGCAAATCCTGAAACTGAACTTCTGCTGGGCAATCCTGAAACAGTCTTCACCTCCTCCATCCATCTGCTTCATCCTGTATGCTGACTAAACATGCTGCTTGTCTGGATGCTGGGCTTCCCCATGCTCATCTTTTCAGTGGGTGGTGAGTGCTTAAGAGCTCTATGTGTCATAAACTGGCTGTGTAATGCAGGTGGGAAAGGATAGGTTGGATAGTATTTCATTTGGCAGTTAAGAACAAAACATTTTACTTTCTTTTTTAACTTCACTTTCAGTTTATGGCTTGCATTTAGTTTCAATGGCCACAATCTCCACATGTCAGCAGCGAGGGTAACGACAAACTGAAAATAATGGTGCTTTGTAAATGCTTCCCTTTTAATGAGATTCAAATTAAAATAAAAAAGATGAAACTTGTCACTGATATAACATCTGGATTTTTAACATTTAACATTTTCAAGTTAAAAGTGTTATTTATGGTTGAAACATCATCAGTAAATCATCAGAATCTAGCACCATTTACAAAACTTTGTTGCTAGGATCTTGGGTTATGTGTTTTGAGTTTTGGTGGTTTTTGATTTACTTTTGGGTAAATAATTAATAATTTATGTTCTAGTTCTATGGTATTTAATTTCATGTCATTTCCTTAATGCTTCTGAATTAGCTTAGCTCTTAGCTCTTTTGTATTAGTGCAAGTTTCCTCTCTTGTCCACAAGCTGTTTGTCTTGTCTCTGTGATTAAACAGCATTTTGTCTCTGTGTTTGCTCTTTTTCTGAATCAGGTTTGTATCAGTAGGTCTTTGTGTTTGTTCAATTCCTGTTTTATTGTGATACTCTCTTGTCTCTTGTGAGTTGTGATGAGTTTACTCGCCACGCTATTCCTGAGTTCCTGAGTGTTTCCTATTTGCCTCCGCTTCACCTAATAACTCTCTTGTGTCTATATTGTCTCAGTCTCCCTTTGATCTTCATCAGAGTTGTTCCTGGGTGTTATTCTGTTTCCTGATCTTCTTCCCCTAGTGTCTTGGGCACTTAGTGAGTTCTGTAGTTTGAACTTGTTTTTTGATTTAGTTTTTTGTTCTGTTTCATGTAGTTTAAGACCACTTGAAAAATGGCAAAAAATCATATTTTGCACAGTTCAATCTTAACAGGGCTCCAACCACAGCTTCAACATGCAACAAAAAGAAATGGGAGTGAGACAAAACATTCTTTTGATCATGCAACTTAATGAAAACAACGCTTAAACTGAAACAGGCTAGACATAGTCACATACTGTTGACTGTTGTGACTGAAAACATTTCTTTGTGAATAGCAGGTTGCCCACCAACACTGACACCTTCTGAAATGGTTGTGAGATTTGGAGATCCAGTTTTAATCAACTGCAGCACATCAGCCACAGATGTTCAAGGAATGGGCTGGGAGGCTCCATTTGGAGGTACAGGATTTGAGCGTCCTCCTGTTGTCACTTGGAGGGTTGACAAAGTGGAAGAGTGGACTCCAAATCCTTTTTGCTATGTTACTCTGGTTAATGGATCCCAGTGTACTGTGAATCCACTCATCACTGTTTATAGTAAGTACATGTGCACACACTGTTTTATTGTGTTATAAACTACATGAACTGATATTTGTATTATAATACAACAGTGATTTCACTTATAATGCTCAGCAGGTGTCTATTATCCTCTAATTACTCTGATTCAATTGTTAGTACGTTTTAGTCAAAATGAAAATCTATCTGCAACCAGCAACATCATGTGTGAAATAATGCATATTTTCTGTATGCTTATATTTGATTGTTCTTTTCCCCACTTTGATTTGTTTACAGAAACTCCAGACTCTGTGTCAGTGTCTGACATGGGTCATGGTTCAATGGTGGAGGGCAGAGAGTATGATCTGAAGTGTGATGTCATCAATGTGGCTCCTGTTCAAAATCTCACAGTGACGTGGTACAGAGGCAATGAAACTGTGCTCACACAGATGTTTAATGACTCCACTATGACTCCAGTAAACGCATCTTCTACCCTGAGAATCTCCACTCCAAGAGATTACAATGGATTAACTTTTAGATGTGAGGCTGAGCTGCACCTCGGACCCAAAGGACCAAAGTTCCCCCCTAATGTAACCTCACCACCTTACACTGCTGTTGTTCTTTGTAAGATTCCCACCAACTTACTTCATGTTTCTGATCTAAGACACAGCTCTGTGATCTATGAAATATAAATTAATCTATGTTGATATTCCTTCCTAGATAAACCATTCATGGAATCTTGTCCAGACCACGTCACTGTTGTTGAAAATGCTGCCTTCAGCATTGACATGTTATCCTGTCAGCCTGATGGGAACCCTTTTCCCATTGTTCAGTGGTTCTATGAGGGGAAAATCCTTAATTCATCTAAGCCACTGACCAGGACTGACTCAGGAAAGTACACGGCTATAGTTGAAAACAGTCGTGGCAGAAGCAACACCTCAGTTCATATCACAGTGGAATGTGAGTGCATCAGACCTGGGTCATTTTATATTTTAGCCGAATAATGATAAAACACACTAAAGTACTGACAAGATAATATTTTGTTTTCAGTTATTTACTTATTTATTTAAATGAATCTGATACCATTTTTACAGACAGTCCTTCTTTCACCTGCAAAGAGCACTATGAGATCACAGTGAATGATAAACATCAAAGTATCTGTGAACCAGTAGGATTACCTACACCCACCCTCACCTGGTTTAAAGATGGTAAACAGATGGTTTCCCCACAGCGCTGGAAAAAGAACGATAGTGGAAAATACTTGCTTAATGCACACAACACACATGGAACAGCTGAACACACACTGTATCTTGAAATTTTGTGTAAGTTTAAAATTTTCAGAATTATATTGTCTTTTTATGATTTCTCCACAGTGAAAATATATAATTTTTGAGATGATAATATATTTTGAAGGACATTACTTACTTTCAAAATTTGGTATTTTTTCCAGATTCTCCTGAGTTCAAGAATGGAAATGAAAGCAAGCAGGTGCTCCAGGGTGAAGATGTTACTTTAAGTTGTAGTGCTGACAGTAACCCACCTTCAAACATCAGATGGGTTTACACACCTGCTGTGAATTCAAATGTGACCACTGAGGGGCACCAGAAGATAATCACTATCACTAGAGCCACGTCTACCAATGCTGGTTTTTACATTTGTGTTGCAGAGAATAAAGTTGGGAGAAATACACGATTCGTCACACTGATGATAAAAGGTATGATTACTGACTCTGTGCAGAACAGTTATGGAAATGTAGGAAAAAATTACTGATGTTTAATTTCAACAATGCATGGCATGATGTATTAAACAGAAGTCACATGTTGTTTTATTTTGTTGGTCTTACAGGCAATACCAGTAAAGTCCTCTTTCCAGCTATTTGGGCTTTTCTCACTCTATTGATCATCGGTCTTACCCTCCTCGTGGTCTATTTTCACAACAGGCAGAAAAAACGTGGACAATACAATTTTGTTCCGGTGTGCCAAATGTCTAATATAGCCATTTGACTTTTGCACAAGCCAATGGCAATGCGTAGGATCTTTGCTGCATTCTGTTCTGTTTGTCATTAATACATTAATACAATTTAGATTTGTTAGTATTTTACAGATTAATTACATTATTGAATTTCAAGTTACATATTTATATATGAGTCATTGATTCATTAAAAGCTAGAAAATGAAAAGCATATTTACACATAAATGAATTATGATCCATTTCTAAACTTCATAGACCTGAAAACAGTATAAATGTGCAAAACAATAAAAAGGTTACACTTGTGATGCAAAAATACTGTGTTATCCAGTGCTATGAAGCAGGAAACTGTTAACAGTAACCCATGTTGTGTCCTCTATTTGGATTAAAATCTGTTTTCATGTATTATTTTTTATTTCTTTTTCACTTTCCTCACAAGGCAGCTTCTTTTTAGTTGTTAAATATTAGAATTTAAGTATCTCGGGGTCTTGTTCACGAGTGACGGGAGAAGGGAGCGGGAGATCGACAGATGGATTGGTGCTTTGGCTGCAGTGATGCGGATGCTGTACCGGTCTGTTGTGGTGAAGAGAGAGCTGAGTGAGCCAGTTGAGGTGGTTCGGGGATCTGAGAAAGATGCCTCATGGGTGAGGTATTCCAGGTATGTCCCACTGGGAGGCCCTGGGGCAGACCCAGGACACGCTGGAGAGATTATATCTCTTGGGTGGCCTGGGAACGCCTTGGTGTTCCACTGGACAAGCTGGAGGAGGTGGCCGAGGAGAAGGAGGTTTGGGCTTCTCTGCTTGGGCTGCTCCCCCTCATGTTAAAAGGGACTTTTTCCTTCACTCTGTTGCTAAAGTGCTTGCTCATAGGGGGTCATATGATAGTTTTTTTTTTTTTGTCTTTATGTATTATTGTAGGGTTATTTCTTTAATTTATTTACAGTGAAACAATAGAGTGTCAAATCACAGATACGTCCATTATACGTTTATTGCTTGAAACCAGAGAACAAGGGCTACACTTCAAACATCAGAAACATGCATTACTGGTGTAAACCATAAAAGGGGAGCAAAGCTTACTTTTTGTATCCAAATAAAAATATCGATCTTGGCGGTTTACAGATGCTTACAGCACATGCATAACAAAGGACAACCTTTTTATTCTGGATCCACCTGAGATTATAGCAGAATATGAAGGAAAACCTCTCACTGTAAACTGCACCATCACATTGGATGAACATGAGTGGATGTACTAGACAGTTGGAAATGAAATCTTTCAGATCGAAGATGAAGGAATGTTTATCTCCCACTCAGTGCCACTGTCAGACTGGAATGAGAAGGCCAAGTGCAAAATAAAGTTAAATGAGTTTCATGAAGTCAGCAAGGACTTTCAAGTTATTGTATTTAGTAAGTTTCATTTTAAATGACACAATAAAAACACCAGTAAATGAGTCCTCTATTGAGTCAACCTCAGAAGAGAAAAATTTAGCTGAGATGGGATGTGATATGTGAAGCTCAGCTGGACTTTGGCCCATACAGACCAAAATGTCACGTTTTTTCTCAAACACACAGAGTTTCAGCAGACTGCAAGTAAACATCCTGGTTGTCTATACAGAAAGAGAGATGTTTAATTAAAATTGTTAGCATAGATTAAAGAACACGAATAGTCTCAATAGCATGTGAGTAAATTGCAAGACTGCCAATTGTCTGAGAAACATAACCGAGACAATCCACGTTTATGTTGAACCAAGAGGTACACTTCCCTGTTTAGCTTACATCTAATGTGCTTGTGGGTTATTTAGATGATTTGACTGAATATATTTGCTTGTGAATGACAGGTTGCTCTCTAAAATTAGTACCTTCTGAAATTGTTGTGAGATCTGGAGATCCAGTTTCAGCTGCAGCACATCAGCCATACCTATTTTAATACTAAAACATTGGTAAACGAATGCATGTTTTATATATTTTATGTTAAGATGATATATATTTCTTTATTTACCTTCTTTACTTTTTTTTTTTTTAAATATAAGACTACTGCTAGACTTTTTCCAGTCATGTGGGCTTTGCTTGCTCTGTTGGTCATTGGCTTCATCTTCCTTGAGGTGCCTCTTTACAAATGGTAGAAAAAACATGGTCATTACACTGTTTCTCCTGACAAAGGGCCAGTTGGTCACGAGATCCCTTTGACATCAATCAGTGCAAATGCTTAGGACACTTGCTGCATCTGAACTGCAGCTTAATGACATTTGTAACCTAACTATTTGTCTTGCATTTCATTTATGGTTTACTTGTTTTTCCTTAAAGCTGATTTTCAGTCTTGAAACGTTGGATGTATATGTTGGATGGCATTACTGCAACCTAAACAAGTTAAATAAAGTAGATTATTTGAAGGTGTAAAAAAATAATTTTGAGTGGTTAATCGTTTCAATCACACAGTAAGTGTCTGCAAGCATCAGTCAGAGAGTTATTTAATGTTGGAATTTAAACTCCTGGCAGGATTCATGTGGGGAAGTGTGAGATGGTCAATTAGGGAAGCACAGAATTCCCTGAGTGTGTCGGCTGTGGAACATGCACTTCTTGCATAAATGTATCACTTTAACCATTTAAGGGATTCAGGATGAAGCACAGTCTCCTAGCTAGTCTCTGTGTGGTTTAGGGTGATGTCCCTTTAAGATTTATAAGGATCTGGGAGTGGCGTGGATAGGAAACCTATTTTCATCCCATATTTCCTTCCTTATCCAGACCCAGACTAACGAATTACAGCCCAAATTAAAAGTTTGAGCATTCTGATTCAGTATATATGCACAAAAAGAAAAGGTGGAGCAGAGAAGTATTCACATTTTGACCTTTTGGGATAACTTTGGAAAAGTATTTGGAATAATCTGACAGTTTAACCAACAAGCTGAATATTTGATTTGGACATAGATCACTGGGTGAGTTTGTCAGCTGCTTGGCTTGTGAGTAATTGTCTGTATATCAGCAGTGCAAGCTGTGAAAGAAAGTGTGTAATTTTCACAATATGTCAAGTAAACTTAGAAGTGCTTTATCCCTCCATTCTGTTTAATACAAAAAGTGTTTTTAGCTCGGCCAGTGGTTTCCTATCATGCTGAACAGAACATTAACTTAATTTTATAAATAGTTTTAATACTGAGAGTCAGAAAGTAGGAAAACTCAAGACGCTCTTCCCATAATTCCCGAACATCCCATTTTGGAGTTACTGTTAATCTTGCAATGTCCAACACCATTGCAAGAGATCATGGGTAGAGCAAATGAAATTTGGCCCATTTTGACATTTGCTAGTATAAAACTCCCCAAAATGTTCTAAACTGACCCAAATTGTACACGAAAGCCTTACATTTTTCTGAAAGCTCCAAATTTGATCTTGTTTTACAGGTGCTGCAAATCTTTGTACACCGAGGCTGATCTAGGTCAGACTGGACCTGTATATATCCAACTACAGTTTCATTGTAGTTGGATATATACAACTATGAATGCAAAACTGTGCATTCATAACTTCGTAACTGCCATTTTAATGATTATCAGCTGAGGACCTTCAATGATAATTTTGACTCCTGTGCCTCACAACATCTAATGCAAATCCTGAAACTGAACTTTTTCTGGATGTTCCTGAATGACACCTCATCTCCTCCATCCACCTCAATCATCCTGCATGCTGTCTGCCACAATGCTGGGCTTCCTCATGCTCATCTTTTCACTGTGTGGTGAGTGCTGAAGACATCTCTGTGGATCTGACATACTGTGTATTAATTTATTTAATAATGGTTAGAGACAAAACTTTTAACTTTCCCTTTTAACTTCACGCTTAGTTTATTGTTGGAAATTTAATTTCAATGGCCTCCATGAGTTACAAGTAAAGGTAACTGGAAAAAGCAAAAATAAAAATAATGATTTGTAAATACTGAGATTTGAACAAAAGACAAAAACATTCAAATTATTATTGATGGAAGAGTTACAGGTATGTGTTATTGCGGAACAAACTTCTGATCTCAATCAATAAAGTGAGTGTGGTGGTCAACAATTCATGGGTCTGTCGGTTGAAACTTTGCTCGCTGGAAACTTTATGACCAGTAGGAGCTACAGTAGCGTTACTTACCTGCAACTGACGCGAAAACAATGAGAGGATCATCACACAACCCTTCAATAACACAACACAACAAATAAGTCCAGTATCCTGAGAGTCAACATAACCAGAGAGAAAAATGTAGTTGAGTTCAGATGTGAAGCTCAGCTGGACTTTGGACTGCATGGACCAAAACTTCATGCCATTTCTCAAACACACAGTGTTTCAGACCACTGTAAGTAAATATCCTAATGTTTCTAGGAAAATACAACATTCACTTAATTTTCCAATTTTGAGTCAGTAAAACAATGTCAAAACCAGTGTAGTTAGGTGCCATATAT